TCTTTTTCAGAAGAACAAGTGCAGAAGCTTAGACTGGACCTTGTGGCTGGAAAGGGTGCCTAGGCCTGAGAGCCTCTGGTCTGTGATTTCTGTCTTTAGGGAATGCTGTGACACTCCTTTGCCCCAGCTCATGTTACTGGATCCACTTCGGACGTATGGTGGTTTCATTACTTGGTGCCATGATGCCTGCTGTCCTTGACCCCACTATCCTCACTCAGTTGGTGCCTGTATGTATGCTTTAATGTTCTAAAGCTGTGTTGGTCGCCAAGAGCTGGTCCATCCCCTGAGCAGTGCCTGGCTCCTGCAGGAGGCACCAGTCAAGTTTGGATGCATTCTCCCATTAGACCCGCCAGCTCTGTGTCTGGCTCCTCCAAATAGTTGGCGTTTGGAGCATGGGAGGCAGCCTGAGCTCACTTCAACAGCTGGTGCCAGCCGGTTCCTCAAGGATTGGTGCCAGCAGCAGGAGGAGCATGCCAGGGCCTTGCTTATCAAAGAGACCAGCATCCATTCCATGGCTGCCACCGAGGGACAAAGGGAAAAGCAGAAGAGCAAGTCCCTCTTGACATGGCACCTTGTGGGAAAGACAGGCATGTGCCATTTAGAAGAGGATGCAAGCTGGAGGATGAAGAGATGACCTTAGTGAGCGGCCTTCCCTCCTTGCTTCCATTTCCTGGCTGGTGGGCAGTGTGTGATACCTGCCTTTGGGAAGCACTTGAGGCTTATAAATGGAAAATAGATCACAGAGGTGAAGCAGCAGTGCTTACTTTGGGGTCTGCCTTTGGCTCCTTCCTCGCTTTCTAGAAGCGGTTCTTGTGGGGACACCTAAGGTGTTCCTGGTGCTCACCATCCCTTGCAAGCCAGGGCCCTCCTTCTTCCACAGGTTGCTAGGCTGCCTCCTATTAAGAGCTGTGACCAGCAGCTCTCCCATGTAATTCTCTTCCTCCCACTGGAAAACTTGTGTCCTTTAAATAAATATTTAATACATCTCATTCTTGTCTCCTGTGCTGCTTGTGTTCATTACTGAAGGTGAGGTCAGAGTTCTCTGAGGAGGACATGGTGAGATAGAGAGTGAACCCCTCATCCCATGGGAATTTCTGTTCCTAAGAAAGTTTTCTGTACAGATGTGCTTGAAACCAGTGTGAGAAACAGAGCCCTGAGCAACAACCTTTTCCCAACATCGCTGGTACACACTGGGCAGGGCTCCGTGGCTGTACTGGGGGACAGACAGAGCTCATGAGTTTGACTGTATTTAGTGGGAAATCAAAGGGGAGTGCAGGAAGAAAGGTTTGACCTGATCATGAATCAAGATGCAAATGCAAGTGGGGATCCTGCTTTAAAGCCCATGCAAGCATCTCACTGGCAATACTTATTCTTACCACAATCAGTTAATATGAGGCACATGAACACAGCACGCTGCAAGCATGGGAGAGGGCTTTGACCCCATAGCTTCTCCAACTAGTTAGCACCTATGGTGCTGAAAACGTGTAAGAGGATCGGGGGGCTCCCAGCATTCCTCCAGTGTTACCTCTAATGCAGTCTAATGTGTTATCAGAGGTCCTCAGTGATGTTTGATCTCCTGTTCTCTCATGCCTGGGCTTTCCTACCTGCCAGCTCTTGGATAACCTGCTGCCCAGCAGCATGGCTGACTGAGGAGAGTCTCCCAGATCTTCCTTGAAGGTTTCCACCTTCCACATTCAGCAGAAACCTTCAAGGAAGAACTGGGAGAGTTGCTCCTCCCTGATCACCCATGCTGCTGGGTTTTAAAGAAAGGGGTCAATCCTGCACTTTGCACTTTCCAGGTAAGTGCTGATCCATGGGATTTCACAGGGGGTGAGCAGGTACATGCAGATGTATTTTATGGTCCAAAGCAGTCTGCTTGGAGGAGGGCAGCTAGATTGATGTCCCCAGGGATCAAGGGAGAGAGATCCTTTATATCCTATTGGGCGGCACCAGGGAGGCAGGAAGGACTGGAGTCTCTTCAAGATGGGCTTTCCTGGGACATAACTCTAATGAGAGGTCACATACGAGGCTCTTATAGTGAGATTAAGGGTTTTGCCCATATAGAAACCACAGTGGCCTGTGAGTTTGGGGGGTGTGGGGGAGGAGCAGGCCTTGGAAGAGCAGCAATCCCAAATAACCTGTGGCAATTAATTTTGTTTAGTTAAGTTCTGTTCGTAGAAGTCATCTTGATGGGGCAGAGCAGCCCTAGTGTCTTTATTGCAGGATGACACCATTGATATGTGTGCCACATGAAACCCCAGGAAAACACTGCAAAATTAGGTGCTAAGTCTGTTAAAGCCATCATTTTGAGATAAAAATTCATATTTTCTGTAATGCAGCCACAAGAAGTTCCATAGTCGTGTTTGTCACTGCCTAGTCATGATTGCTTCTCAAATGAGTTGTCATACCATGCATAATAACTGTTAGTAATTATTGTTCCGTTCTCTCCTTTTAAATTTAGTGATAAGTGGTCAACAAGGTTTTACATAATATTCTAGGTAATCCAGGAAAGGATTCCTCATCATTTTGTTTACTGGCTGCTTAGACATTGCTGGTTGGTCAGTGAAGCCTCTTCTGCTTAGGGTAGCACTGGCGCTGTTGTACCAGTGATATTTGCCAAGTCCAGTGGGGTGGATGCTGCTGAGGAGGATACAAAAAGGTAAGGTCAAGCCTTCTCCACTGTGGCTGCAAGTAGCTCCTCTGTGGGGAAAGGGGTTCTTATCACAGAGGTTGCTATTTGGCTTTGTTTGTCTTGGTTCTATTATGCAGGCAGTTCTTCTCTCTGGCAAACCCCTCCAAACCTGAAGTAGCCAAGAACTGAGCTGTTAAAAGAAATATCAAAATAAAATATTTCTGATAGATTTCATAAAGGATGAGTTATAGCAAGGAAAAACCAAATATTTTGGATGTAAATATATTGCACTGCATTCTTCAACCCAATAATGTATTTTTATTTATCTGAAAAGATTTAAGATAGCCCAAACTCTTTGGATGGCATGTAGAAAGCATTCCAGTATGACAGCAGCTTAAATTGATTACCTTGCTGAGGGAGGGGGAAAAAAAAATAGCTTTATTTAAATCAACTTTAAAGCTTTATTTTAAAGGGTGGATATTGGTAGCTGGAGAATAGGCTCTGCTTTCCCCTCATATTGCAGCTGGGCGGCAATAGCCAGCCTTCACTTATTTATTTATTTCCTGCACAGAGGGGAGGAAAATATAGGTTCATGAATCAATCTAGATAATGGGGAAGGCTGGATGTAATAAATAATACAGTAACAACCCTAAACTAATGAGCTGTTGCTAAGGTACATTTCACAGGCTCATCCTCTATATAAAAAGTCACTAATAATCCCTTGGTGTAATCAGATGATAAAGCTTTGCCATAAGGCAACACCTGTGCAATTAAAGCCGTGGATTCTTTTGCACGTTTCATTAATTTCAGGATTTTGTAAAAGCACAATGACTACACTAATAATCTAGTCTACTTGACTCCATGTCTACTGGAAACAGGGTGTCTAATTAGGTAAAGGTAATTAATTAGAGATAAATGGAGCTAATCAGACTCAGTTAACACTAATTCTCTGAATTAAGACATTTTGGGACACCTACTATTCCACTGGCTTTGATGTTTCCCAACAAACACTGGCTTGGAAAGGAGTCAGAAACCATTACATTTGTTCTTCTGGAGGTTGTTGGCCTGACTGTGCAGCATCACCGGCCCCAGCAATCTTGCTGGGAATCAGCAGGGCTCCGAGCTGTGCTTACTCCCGTGTGTTTGTCCACTGGGATATGCTGGTGTCTGGAATGACCACAGTAACTGTGGTCAGCATTCCGGGTAACTGTGAACAGCATTCCGGGTGCAGAATGCAGTGTCTTCTTCACAGAGAAGCATCAAAGTTAAAAAGTTAAGGCAAATTTGAAAGAAATCTGTTATTTAGTGAAAGGATCGTCATTTCACAGGTGGTCTGTGCATGTGGAACTCTTTGGAGGCCATGGGCCTGTTCTGGTGAGGAATCAGATGCTGTTCATCTTGCTTAGGTAATCAATTATATTGGATTCAGGTGCCAGCACATTCAAAACCAGCAGCACTACTGGGCAGGCAGGGGGGAGTAAAAGTGTGGGGGAAAGGAAATAAGAGGTTCAGTTGATCTGACATTGTGGAATTCCTGCCTGCCTCTATTGCTAGCTTTGTGTTAGAACAGTCTTGTTTTGCCTTTTTCCCATGTAATTGTTTCTTTCTGATGTGAGTTACTGTGTAGCAGTGATGGCAGATGTGGTGGAAAGATGCTGTGACTGGTATATGCTTATACTGAAATGACAGTGTCACCACCACCAGCTCTGTTAGTGTTTGGGGATGAGACCATGCTGGGTATAAGGAGCGAGCACATTTTAGAAGGTATTGCCTCTTGTCTCTGCATGATGTTAAATCTCAAAGCAAGATGATTTATCCTCCCCTATGGATGGTCTGCTTATTTCAGCTGTAAAGCACGGCTGATGGAGAGTTCTTCATCTATCGCTTGAATGCTGAGAAGTGTGGGATGCGCTCTTCCCTCCCACATCTAAAGAGGAGCAGACACCTCTTTTTAAACTTGTATTTCTATAACACCTAGGCTGATGGTGCGCAGTGTGGTACATAAATAACAAGAGTGAGCCAGGAATGAGCCCTTGTAGGCTGAGCTATAGCCTGAGGTAAGTCTCCATGAGCTGAGCTACACTATCCTCACTAGAGGAGATGAAATAGAAGTGTCTGAGTACTTTTATTGCCAGACACTTTCTGGATTGACCTTTCAATAACTTGTTAAACTACAGAAAACATTTCTCTTTTCTAGATGTAAAAAACATGCTGGGTCATGCAGCCCACAAATGCACCTCTGGATACTTTGGTCAGAGCTTGGTGGCTTTGGGCTTTCAGGAGCAGGTGGGACCTAGACTGCACTGTTTGAAATAACTTGTGTTTCCAAGGATGGATAAACCCTGGCTAGCAGTTGCAGAGAGTTCTGGGTGAAAGGAACCACTGCAGCCAAACCCTCTAGGGAAAGAAAAGGAGTGTGGGAGTGTGTCCTCTGTACTCCATGGAGACAAACTGCTTGTGACTCCTGGTTTGGCTGGGCAGACCCCAGAATGAGGGCAGCCACTGCTACCCCCAAGCCTTTGGGCTGCAGAGCAGTCATGTAAGTGGGAGTCCAACCCTGATTTGCTCCCAGTAATTTAACCTCTCTTGTGTTATTGAGGTTACAAGTCTTCAATCATATGTATATAGGAAGTCCAAGGGAGTTTCACACTCCAGCACATCAGGTTTCAGCTCTATTTGCTAGTACTATCCTCTGATGCACTTGCCCTTTTGAGCACAACCCTGTTTGTTGTCCAGGCTTCATACGCTTTGAGGATGTCCAGTTAACTGTGCAGTGAAGGCAAGAGATGTCTACAGGGCTCACTCAGCTGCCAAAGCCCTGTTTGGGCTGACCACTGTGCATGTGCAGTGATGAGTACCTCTCCAGTGGGAGGGTGAGCTGAGCCTCCTGGGTGCATGGGAGCTCTGGGTATGGCAGAGTCACTACGTTTTGCAAGTCATAGTTGCTCATTAGTGTAACTCAGGTGGTAGCAGTCAATCCAGAGGCTGAATGAACTTTTGAATTGACGGCTCAGATGACAGCAGCTTTCTTTGGGGAAACCGCCAAATGTCCCAGAAGAGGCAGTTTGTTTGAGGAATGAAATCCATCTTCTCCTTTGCGTGTTCTCCTCTTAGTGTCTTTGTGCGAAAAGGTGAAAATGTTGAAGCTCCTGTTGTGTTTCCTGGATGACAGAGCTGCCAAGATTCACCATCCCCCAGTCTGACACCCCTTGTCTCATTCAGGGATGGATCAACACCTGCTGGTCTTGGATATCATTATAGAGCCACTGGA